CGACACTCACTCAAAGTTTAAAAGATAGCTGTCTTTTTCTAAGAGTACATTAGATTTCTACTTATCGATGATTAGCATCGTAAAAACTGCAGGGTTAAATTTGTTTGCATTTTATCGGACCGTAAGCCAAAATATTTTAATGGAAACCTCCCAGTCGGTAAAACTTCAATTCCAGTTGCTTATTTGATTTGCTTACCATCAGATGTATCGTGGTTGATGCCCGGACAAGCAAATTGTGAGTTTAAACCAGAGGGCACTTTTTCGTCAACAATAAATATGAGCTCCATGCTCCAAAGTTAAGCTTCATTGGGACCGGCAGCTTGTACTTTTTGTCACCCGTCCTTGTTCGAATTCCTTTGTAATATCCGGGGTCCTGACCCGAGTTCTTTCACCGAATAAAAAAAGCAACGAGACAGCAGACAGCAGCAAATCAATCAACGCGAAAGCCTTCCAAATTCCTTAAAGCCCGTTTTTTAATCAAATTGAAGTTTAGTCTATGCTTTAAGGCACATCTGCAGGTGTCACCAGCAAGTGACGGAAAAGGCAAATTAGGAATGTGAAACCCCCCGGAGCTACAAAACGATTTGGGCCAAGTGGAAAAACATAAACAAAGGCGAGCGAGACAACAATCGGTTTTGCCATTTCTATGCTAAACAACAAACCGAAAATTACATTCATTTCCTGCTTCCGGCATCACGTAGCCGCCCTGGACTCACCAAGGATGCAGCTTTGAGTGTCTGGGAGTGTCGAACAAAGTTTGGCCAAATTGCTAACATCCTGCGGGGGAGGGTAATAGCCGAAAAGTCTATTTCGCAGGCTAAAGACATTAAAATGTTATTCTGAAATGAGAAATTCTAAGAGTGGGCCAATACCGGTGTATTTTTCAGTTATGATTGATTATGCCCTTACTTAGTGCGCAGCTAAATAAAAATATCACAATACAACAATTTACATTTCCATTTACATACACTTCTGTTTAGCCAATTTATATATACTATCTGAAAAAGGTTTCCCCTCAAAGAAAATAAAACATGGTCATAATTTGCCTGCAGACACTGAAGCACAAACTTGATTCTCTTGACAATGCGATAATGCCCGGCACATTGTTTACTCCAGAGGACGCACCTAAGTTTATCTCAAATTGTTCCTTTCATAGTCGAAGTTTTCCTCCACCGCTACTATAAATACAATTGACTCGTTCCTGCAACACATACCTGTGGCAACAGTCGCCCCACATATTTTATTATTGTGGCAGTGGCAGAAAAACCAAACTTGGCAAAAAATTTAATCAACATGACTTTTGTGGGTGTTTGTTCGCCTCTGGTTCGGAACAGTTCACTTGGCGCCTACACAATCTACATCCTTTCAGAACGAATGCCAACATAAACCAGGACGAGGGAGCTGAGTCCGTGCGTCGCATTCAAAAGCGGCAGCTGCGTCCTTCCCGGTTTAATTAATGCCAATGGGAGCCAACTGAAAAAATTCAAATCCACATGGGTGCAACTATATTTACCTTAAGGCCAGAACTTCGAAGCAATTTTCTAGATGGTCATTTTAGAATGGAATATTTTATAAATGGACTAACTGCACCTAGATATTTAAATAATAGTTGAGATTGAAATGAAAGAACAAGTTCCTAAAAAGAGGCCAATACGTAGGGTATCAGTTAAATGCCAAGCAATTTCATTTCATTAGTTATAAACATTTTCGGGCACAAAAAACTAACCACATGGCTGGCCCAGTACAACAGGGCGTATGATTAACGCCCAAAAGCCACAAAGTAGGCAGCACAAAAACCACAAAGTGTCAGCCAGCAGCAACGGCAGCAAGGCTCATCAAATATGTTGATAAAACACAAAAGATTACAGCGGAGCTGGCTTAGGGAAAAAGGGTCCTAGGACCAGAGAGCAGCACCCAGACCAGGACGAAGGCATCTAATGTGTTTGTCAAAACGTTTTAATGCCCTTTCCAGGGGCTGGGGTCCCATAAAGCCAGCCAGATAGCCGGGCCCAGTAACCTTTTTTTGGGGCAATAGTTAAAGGTTCGGAGGTGGGGCTGTGGGGCTGTGTGGCTGTGGGTTGTGGGTTTGGGTCCGGCTGACCAGCGCCAGATGACCTTTTTCGCACAGCGAAATAAAAATTGTTAAATAAAAGGCAAATAAAATTTGTGTGTCACACAAATAAGGGGGCGAAAAGCCTCGTCAAAGTCTCGACGTGAGCAAAAAACAACCTGTTGTGCATGTGTGTGTGTGTGTGCGGGATTGCGTGTGCGTGTGTGTGTGGGAAGGTCTGTGTTTCGGGGGCGTTGAATGTATTAGTTGGGCTATGCCATAAAGGCTATTTAAACGTCGTCAATGTGTTTTTCACGCTTCGCTTCAGAAGCCGTTGGGGAAAATTCACACTACCCAACAAAGAACAGGGTGAAATAGCGCTTATTTATACAGCCATCCGTCGTTGAAGGGCACTCAATAGCCTCAGATTTGGCTTATACTCATGCAGCTACCTCATTATTTATTTCTGAATCTATGAGCCATGTGATCTGTTTAAATAAGCTTAATAAGTTACGAAGATCAAGCGTTTCCCCAGCACCCTTTATGTTTGGAAATACACGCTTCTTGGTGTCGAGTGTTTTAGGATAAACTGCTCAAAGAGGCCCTCGATGCTCAACAATGTGTTAATGGAATTGCTTATTATGTGTCAATCAAGCGATTTTCCCAGCCCAATTCCAGAAGCCGAAAATATTCGTCCTGTCATGTACCAGTACCGTTTATTGGCTGACACATTGTTTTTTAAAGCCTGCTAAACCGAGATCTTCCTTCAATGGCCACCGAGAAGCGGCACATTCGGACCGGACGTAAATAGCATCATTATCTAGGAGACATCGCACAACTCATTCGTCATTCGTCAAAAGCCAACAAGAAGGCGTCGCCAGAGAACGATGATAAATCACTTTCAATTTTGACAAACGTCCCAAATGTCGCGCAGTCTTGGTGCACATTTCATCGGCCAAACACCCACTTGCTAGCCCGGCCAGATACCAAATTTCCATACCGAGTGGTCTGACTCCGCCGGGCAATTGGCCAACGCTTCCGTCCAACAAATCACTCTCCGACGGACATTTCCGAGATATCATTGGCCAAAGGCAGGGCCAGGCAGCAAAGGGGAAGGCGAAAGCGAAAGTCAATTCGATTAAGGCTTGGACAGACAGATCACAAAAGATGGATGGCGGCCAACTGCAAATGGTAAATCATAAAAAGGCATGCGGCGTTGTAATGCGATCTATTGGGTATCGTCTGTTGTGAAGGACTCAAGCACTTACCACATTTCAACTTTGTTATCGAGGACAGATGAAGATACTGGATTGGCTTAGAAGATACATTAGCTCCTCTTTCGTAAAACCCATTTCTTTGAGTTTTTTCCATCTCAGTTGTCGAGCTAATACTTAAAGTGCGCTTTTAAAAAACCTCGAATGATCTACTTATTAGCCATCGTGGCGGCACTATTTCGTGGAACGTGCCCCTGTCTTAACTACAATTCAATTTCCGGCTCGCCTGGCTGACATCACGTATACGCAGGCTATCACGTATACGACAAGTTGCATCGCCCGCCATCCACAGCCAGCTCCTAAGAAAATATTTCGCCAGCACTTAACGTCCCATGCAATCCAGCTTTCTCCCGATGCTGCTGCACAGGCTTAACATTCCACTTCCGCCTGCAGCGACAGCAAAAAAGAGCCAAAACAATATTTGAAAATTCAGCCCCATTCGGGGGAAAGTGTCTCTTCCTGTCGGGAAACTGCTGTGCATAATACTGCACACTCATTTCGGGCCATTGTTCAGACACTTCCCGTCATGAGGGCTCCACTCGAGGACTCTCCCCATTTCGCCTTGGGTGTACTGCCCCAAAGCACCAAAGGTGAACCGCCTATCAGCATCCCGACTGGATTCATACGGTCGCAACCATCTGGATGCACTTGCTCCCCTTCGAGCCGTGCATGTGCTGTGTTCTGCTTATAAATAATTCAATTGCCATTTTCCCGGCCTTATGCTGTTTGCTGCAAAGTGAACATATGACGCCTGCAACGAATTACAATGAACGGAGGGGAAGGCCTGGCACTTGATGTGAAAAACATGAGGTCCTTTGCATTGTCTAGCACACGTCTATGCTGAGGACGAGCAGAAATTGCAGTTGTATTGATTATTTTAAAATTTTTAATAATGGAAAACCAATGACCCCGGCCATTAGGGCAGCCATTAACCCATGACATCATTTGGTAAAATGTGTGAATTCCTATAAAAACGGTGGCAACTAATGGTGCCATTGCCGCAGCTGTTGGGTTTTTCTGGCATCTAACCTTTCGAGGGCTTTAACAGTTTAAATACAAAAACGCACTGCACATGTTTGAGTGTGCGGCCTCATTCAAGTGTAGTCATGAATAATATTCGCTCATAAATTGTTTGCCATTGGACAAAATATGTCCGTACATATTCCACTTCGAAAATATTGATAAAGCCGCTTTCACCTTCAGTGTTTGCTCAATGTGCAGTGCAGGCGTTTCAATGGAAAGGACACTATATAAAAAAGAGTTTGCTCTGAAATACAAGTATTTTGAACTATTAACTTTGTTTTTCCATCTTTGGCTTCGCCAATGTTTGCAAAGGAATATTTATTTGTCCCTTGTGGTTCAAGGGAAAATTAAAACTAAAAACGGTATAACGACAACTGCAAATAGAACGCACTTCACATGCCTGCGAAAAATGTTGTACTCTACACTTTTACAGACAAATATTTGCTTTCAATTTAAATGAATATTAATGGGGATCATGGGATTCAAGGAGTTCCCTGTTATTAACGATGCATTCAATAAACTAGAGACAAATTTATTAATTTGTAGTGTAAATGCTAAATGCATCTCACTGTGGTGACCATTATTTCGACGACAGCTGTGCTTTTTCTTTGTGTTGTATTTTTAATTTCGCATCCTTGTTTTCTTTCTTGCAGTTTCCCATCAACGCGAGGCAAGAGTGATAAGAGGAAATGTTTAATTTGAAGCGGGAACTGAGTCAAGGCTGCGCCTTGGCCCTCATCTGCCTGGTGACTCTCCAGATGCAGCAGCCCACCCAGGCGGAGGTGTCCTCAGCTCAAGGTGACCACCCAGTGCAGCCTCCGCCCGAGAAGCAATCCTCTAAAGACTCTTTTGTAGGCACCCCCCTGAGCAATCTGTATGATAATCTGCTGCAGCGCGAGTACGCCGGACCCGTCGTGTTTCCCAACCACCAGGTGGAGCGCAAGGCCCAGCGTTCGCCCTCTTTGCGCCTCCGGTTCGGTCGCAGTGATCCGGACATGCTGAACAGTATTGTGGAGAAACGTTGGTTCGGCGACGTCAACCAGAAGCCCATCAGGTCGCCCTCCCTGCGTCTGCGATTCGGCCGCCGGGATCCCAGTCTGCCGCAGATGCGAAGGACCGCCTATGACGACCTCCTGGAGCGGGAGCTCACCCTCAACAGCCAGCAGCAGCAGCAGCTGGGTTCCGAGGCGGATTCCGACCTGGGTGCCGACTACGACGGGCTGTACGAGCGAGTGGTGCGAAAGCCACAGCGTCTTCGCTGGGGACGCAGTGTTCCCCAGTTTGAGGCTAACAACGCGGACAATGAACAAGTAATGATCTGCATTTTATGGTATTACAACATTACCTTCTAAATGAAACCTTTTGGTAGCAAACAGCAAACTCTTGCCTACTTTTAAGCACCTTTACGAGTATCCTTATTCAGCAAACACAAATAGCAAAATGTAGAGATCAATATGTATCTATTCTACTTGCCAGGTCGAACGATCGCAGTGGTACAACTCGCTCTTGAACTCGGACAAAATGCGCCGAATGCTCGTGGCCCTCCAGCAGCAGTACGAAATGCCCGAGAACCTGGCCAGCTATGCCAACGAGGAGGATACTGACGCGGATCTGAACAGCGATACGTCGGAGTTCCAAAGGGAAGTCCGTAAGCCGATGCGCTTGCGGTGGGGACGGAGCACTGGAAAAGCTCCCTCAGAGCAAAAGGTAGGAATGAATATCAGATCACTTATGTGCCCAGAAACAAATAGTTCTTCCGCACATATAGCACACTCCCGAGGAAACCTCATCAACCCCACCCAAGACACAGAACTAAACTATTGTAAGACGCCATGTGAAGGATCAGCAGGAGATTGGCAACAATTGAATGAAGTCGTCAGCAAGCTACACGGTCAATAAGATACAGAAAACATATAGGGCCCGCGTCGGAAAAGGCGATTTAACGCATTTTGAGATCGCATGGGCTAGAAATACACACTAATGAGCATATATATTATACATGCACACATATGATTAACCACCTAGTTTTACTTTTGGTTTTCAGCTAGTATTCAAGCAAACGAAAACCTAGAGAAATATTCTGTTGTAATCTTTAACAATGCGCAGGTAAAACAAGGTAACACAAATTGAACCTAAATTAAAGTGTATTAATTTCCAATGACTTTACTTTTATTTCATTTTATCAGTTGTTCAATACTTCCGAGTTTGTACCAATAGCCAAAATTCAAAACAGCAAAATCTCCCTATTTCTAACATGTTCAATTAAGCAACTTTGAATCCATTTGAATGCCCCGAAAATCTTTAGACTCAATGTATATAAAAAAAGTATTAAATCTTTTGAAAATTAGCGCCAATTTGTTATGACAACGGTAGAATGCCATACAACTTATTGTTCTATTAATGAAAAACTTCTTGATTTCTAAACTAGTAAGCGAATTTCGATTTAACGTTACGATGGAAATGTTTGAAAAACATAGAGGCCCCCGGAAGCTGTATTACTGTAACACTTGTTATATTATGTGTGCTAAAACTTATAAATACATATATGTATATCAACTATTATATCATACGACTATATATATACGATGAGCATTGTCTATTAATATTTTATTGATGTATTTTAATAAAAGGAGAAAACAAATACAGAGGCGAACGAGCATAAAGCTGATTGTTGTTAGAACACTTTTGTATATTTAATTTACACCATCATTGAAATTATTGTTTAACCACTAAAATATTATGAAGAAAATATACTTTGTGGTGAGCCGGCTGCCATAACCAGCTGAGTGCAATTTTGCGCTGAAAATTGCGAAACCCTTTCCCGCGATATATATCAGTATATACGCATATATACCTTTAAATGAGTGTAATATCATGAATGTAAATAAAAGAGCAGGAATAATTAAAAGCAACCATATTTTACTCGATCTATGCAACAAATAAATAACTCAGATGGAGTAAAAAACTTAGAGCTGCGTTTTCTCACTAGTATTGGGTGGGTTTACCACAGATCAAGATGCCACTTTTCCCCATTAAAAAGGAAATCCATATTATGATCCAACTTTCTAAAATCACTGGACTGAACTTCTCCCGCATGAAACCCATGTATCCACTAACACTGCCAGCAATTATCAACTTGGAAAGCCATGGAACCAACTGCTGCCCATTATGGAATTAAGCAACAAATGCAAGAAAATTAAACCAAAGCCAAACAAGAAACAAAAACTCTGGTGGCGATGGCATCTGGGAAATGGGCAGGAGAATCACCGCGGCCACACACAAACCATTCGCCACAAGCCAAGGACATTTGGCCTCCCACCTGTTGTGATGACAGTCATCGCCATTAACTCTGTTGCCACATCCTCCAAAGCGCCCATTTCCAGCAGGTAGAAATTTGTTGATGTTTGTTTTGATAATTAACTTTTCAACTCTAATGTGCCAGAATGTGGGTTGCCTAAAATGGTTATAAATCCGTACACGAAACATTATTTCGGTTAATTTTATGCAGGCATTGAAAATTTAACACGAAAATGCACTTTACGAGGATACCGTTTTTGCGGGTGGCAAACGGGTTAGCTTAATATGTTTAACTTCCACCGTGAGAAGTCATTATATTCAAAATACATGCTCTCAAATTATTTAACAACAATTTCTGATAATGAAATGGAATTTGAAATGTTGGGATTTCCCTTGAAAACTGGCAGCCATTTGAGCAGGGGAAACTTTTTCACGAAAACTAGTTAAAACTATGAGAACATAAAAAGCACAACAAAACAAAACAAAAAATTTCCCAGTAGCTTCACCGATTTTACTATTAATTTTATTATTTCCAGCGAAAACCTGAAAATAATTTCAAAAGCAAAAACGGTACTCTTATATGCCCGTCAATTTCTGATTTATGCGAATTGAAATATGCAGATTGGAATCAACTTTTAAGTTGACAACTTTGTTCGGTGTCATTCGCTAATGTCAAAAGTTTTGTGGAAACGTTTTCGAATGATCTGCTTGCCGAGGTTTTTGCTTTTGTCTCGCATATGTACCGAGTCTAATCAGCAGACGCCCAACGTTACTTAGTATACTTGGCAAATATTTATGCAAATAATATGCAATTACACACACACGCAAGCGGCGCCTAAAAGCGCTCTGTAAACACCGAAGTTTTCCAACAAACACAAACACACTGGCACCCAACACACACACATGTGTCCTACATACACAGATGCAGAAGGAAAATCCTCTTCAGGAGGCGACAAAAACCACTTGCAGCTAAAAACGACGAAGGATTCCCATTCCTTTTTTATCCATGTTACACTGTAAGCAATAGAGAACGCTATAGTAGAGAACCTCGACTATCTAATACCTGTTACTGTTTGTGGAGCATACAACTATTTCTCTCAGTGTGCACCAACACAAGTATGCAAACGAAAGAGCAACAGAAACGAAGAACAATGTTAACTACTTTCCTTCTGTCTGAGCCGCCAGCAGAACATAAACAGCCAAAACTAATGCGAAAGTTGTAATTCTTTTCCTTGGAAAAAAGTAGGCACACATGAATATATGTTGCGTGTGCTTTGCATAGATTAAAAACATATCTGCGGCAAAAGGCATTAATACGAATCTCAACAGATTTTAGATGCTGTTTGCCAAAAAGACGGTTACCAATTGAGGAACAAAATACCCAATTAAAACAATGCAAGGCTTTCAGATGTTTCCTATTTAATTGTTTATAAACTAGTGTTTAAATCAGAACAATGCTTTGTTTGTAGATGAAAATCAGATTCGACTGGGGTCAGGGTATATGTTTGAGAATACTGATACGATTGGGGGTTACAAGGTTAAAAATACCATTTGGAGATTAAGGTGTAGCCGTGCGAAAGAAATGTAACAGCATTCAGGGGCAACTAAAATTACGAATTGCAAAATCATTAAAAGAATTTAATCCACTACCTGACGAATTTGAAAGTCCTCTAAATCGTTCTGAGGAATTAGCCGCAGTTTCAAATCGTTGGCCAAATGCAGAACCGCATAGAAAGCCACAGACGGAGACAGCGATTCTGCCATTTTGGTGGTCAACAGGTTGGGCAGCTTCTGATACACCTGCTGAAAACTCGCGACTCCCTTTGAATAGTGTTCGCTCTTTTTCTTTGGATGCGAGGGTATCGTCTCCTCTGGCACAGCGTTTAGTAATTGTTTCTGTATTAGGGAGTTACAGGACTTTTTCAGATTCTTCATGTCTATCACCTTGGCTCTCTTCGCAAATGGAACAATCACTTTGGCAACCTGCAAGTAAATTATATTATATTATTCCTTCTTTATTTGTCTGCATATACGATTTTATTGTAATAACTCACCTGCGACGGCGCACCCTCAAACTCTGTACCGATCTCAAAGACTGTATTATTGCAATTGGGGTTCATTTGGGAGAGACCCATCTCGCCCGCGTCCACGTCCATCATGCTTGCCTCGGCCGCTTGCTCCGCGGCAATCGCCGCAATAACGCTCACGTTGGCGGGAACAGCGTCCGTAAAATGTTCGTTGTTAAAAAACTCCTGGTCATTATCATCATCGTGGTGCATATCCGCATCCATATCAATGCCAAGATCTCCGCCCTCGTCCGAATCAGGTTCTCCAACGCGTTTCGACAAACGTATGCTGGGAGCGGAGTCATATTTGAAGAAAATATCCGGGTCCAAATCGAACTTGGTGGGCAATATCAGCTTTCGGGGATCCCACTTCTTTTGGAAATTCACCCTGCGCTGCCTTATTGTGGTGTCTAGGTGTTGGAATAAGTTTTCCGTCACATGGCCGTAACCTACAGCCTTAGCCCTTCGGTTAGCGGTCAGATGCGTTGACTTCTTGGGCCGTTGACTGCGAATAGGCTGGGTGTCCACCTGGCCGTTGGTCTGCGAGAAAGTAATGCGCGGGCGAGTGCGCTTGAACTTCCAGTGCGAGGGGCCGGCCCAAAACTGGGAAATCTGATCCATCGGCCTGTAGGAGTACTCTAGCTTAGAATTTCCGTCTACCGGTCGCAAATCCTCGATGAACTCTGTCTGCTTGCGCAACCTGCGACAATTTTTGATCACCATTTGCTCCTCGGTAGTGAGCTCTTCCAGCTCATTAGAGTCCACTTCCAGAACCTGAGGCGGTGGTCCATCCAAGTCCGGCATGGGTTCACACTCGGCATTGATGTCAAAGGCCATGGAAATATCATTTACACACATATCATCGGCATTATCCAGACCCTCGTCGTGATCTTCATCCTGCACTGCCTGCGATGGCTTTTCGTTGGCCGCCTTGGGGTTAGGAGCACTTGTGATGATGTAGCCCGTGTGCAGCGGGCGCAGATTTGATCTCTCAGCATGTGGCAGTAGTTTGCGCATGAGATTGGTGCTCATAAGTGATTCGGCTGGCCATTGTTCCAATTCTGCATTGAGCGTAGTGTGGTCCTGGACCTCCTCGGTGAACTCTTCGCTGTTCCAGAAATTATAGGTGGTGCGCAAGCGCAATTCCGAGTCGAAACTAGGAAGGATGTTGTGCATTAGACGATTCGAAGCATTTATGGAGCCCACAGTGGAGTTCAGCTTGCCAAACACCGGATCCTGCAAGGGAGCCGTATCCAGTCGGCTGTTTAACGTATCTCTGTTTTTGGTCACTGTGGATATGGGCTTCTTTTGCCGTTTGGGCTTGGACACTGCTTCTTTGGGTGCATTCTGCGCAGAGTTCTGTCCCTCGCCAGTCTCCTGTTCACCTTGGTGGCCATCATCATCCTCGGCAGCGTTTATTTGCTTATCCGTAAGAGTTCGAGCACTCAAGCCAGCTGATATGCGCATGGCATCCAGGTAGATGGAGTCCACACGCAGACCGTACACCTTGGATGAAGCTTCTAGGGAAGAACCTGCCATCTATGGAAGCAAATTAACAGGCGATTATGATTCGTCGTACATGAACTTAATGAGCACAAAACCCACCTTAAAGTTGCTCATGCGCTTGTGATGGTGATCCAGCAGATTGGCCAGCGAATCGATAAGCATCAGGTTCCAGGCGTTGTCCTTGCTCAGCTTGTTGCCATTGTAGATCTCCAGGCAGTTCCTGATGGTCTCATTGTCCTCGAGTGACTCCACAATGCTCGCGCGGTGCTGCTGCTGCAGAAGAGTGCGGCGACGAGCCTCCCGCCTTTCCGCCTCGTCGTCGTTAAGGGGGGTTAGCATGCGGGACACCTCCTCTCGGTAACTGGCCACCGCGGACCGCCTAAGCGGAGTTTCCAAGCGGGGCAGGGTCATCCTTTCAAGGAAGTGGAGAAATCAGGGGTAACGTAAGCGCACAGCACAGGGAGTTTCGTTTGCCGAAGGCTGGTGGTTTTGGATAATTTTTAAAAACGCATCAATTAAGCAGGTTCACTTTCAATGATAGCTTTGAACCCCCAATTCGACAGTTTTGACACAACTTTTGTTGATTGTATTTTGTCTATTTCTGGTTTTGCGATGGTATTAGTAGTAGTTTACAGTTTCTTTCAAACGACGCCGCAATTTAGGGCTGCATTTTAGTGTTGGTTAAAACTAAAGAAGTGCCAAGTTAGCTAGAAAATAGAAACAGGAAAATCACTAGAGAATTAGCTATATAATTTTACGTTTTATGAAAAATTTAATATAAACTGGATTGCCAATTGTATTTTATTGAGAAAAAGAGTTACCTAACTCATTTACATTTACAGTTACATTTATAAGCATCGAAATAGAATAAAACGTGTATATTACCTAGAACTTTATTTTACATTCAGGGATGCACAAGCACTGCCACAGCTAAATAGAGATCAACCAGGGACGACCGTTAATTTCAAATACACACGTATTATTAAACAAACTAAAGTCAGTACAAAAGCAAATAAATAACATTAATTTGCCAATACAGTTACCTAATAAAGATAATTAATTTCAAATCTGTTTTCTATTCTTCCTTAGTTCACTTTTAAGAAAATGTTTTTATAATTATCACCCTGGTAATTAATGTAGTTGTTTTTTATATGTGTCACAGTTCTTTTAACAATAATGTCTAAAGCAATACAATTTAGAAATATTTAGTTGGTAAAATCCTTCATCGGCTCTCGCGACTCTTACCAACACTGGCGCTGATAACCACTCCATCCCTGGAAGGCGGCAACTCTCACACACACAGCCGCAGAACTTTGAGTCCCTCGCGCAGTTCGCATCGATTCAATGTCGTGATTGTTGTTAGTTTTCGTTGTTTTTGTCTGAGAAACTTTAAATAACTTTTTGCCAGCGCTGCGCGATTTACTCGATGTAATCGAATAGGGCACAGGAAACGCTCTGAGCCTTAAAATTGACTATAAAACTTATAGCTTTAACGAAGTTCACACTCGACGTGCATGTGTGCATTTCTCCCTGTGGTAGTGCTGGAGTAACTGGACATTCCGATTTTGCGTAGTTCCAGCGAAACCTAACGGGCTTTCCAGTTCGATTTGCGGAATAGCAGGAATACGACATACGGAGTTGCGGAAATTCGGAATCACCATGGCACGCGACACACAAGGAACCCAGGGAACCCAAAGCCAGGCCTCCAATATCTGGACGCAAGTAGAGAGCCAGCCGATGGAGAAGATTGTCTGGGGCCGCTTGTACGGCAAGAACATTAAGATCAAATCGTTGGGTACGAGTTCAAAATACCGAATTCTTTATACGCATTCGTCCTTTTCTGTTGGTAACCACATTTCCACCTGTTTTGTGTCTTTATTGCGTGTGCACTTCATGTTTTAATGGTGATCCCATGCTAAACTGATTCCAGATCTCAACAATGACGAGTTCACCGCAGGACGCGGTGAGGCAAACGATTTGATTCTCACGCTCAATGATTTGCCCGAGAAAATCCTGACGCGCATTTCCAAAGTGCATTTTATCATAAAACGGGCAAATTGCGAGCTTACCAACCCCGTTTATATTCAGGTAGGTGGAGGTTCCAAACCCATTTTGGGAGGAAAGTTGGCATTCAGAGGAATTTTTTTAAAACGAGACAGTGAACTAACGAAACCACATGACAAACTGCAAGTTACCCAGAAAAACTAACTTACAACTCAAATTATGTTTAAGTTGTATTTAGATGAGGTTATCAAAGAAAGAAATACTAATATATTGAATACTCCCCATAATTCATTTACAAAAGCAGAAACTCAGATTGCACTGTTACAATTTCCAAAGTAACCGTTGCCTTTGTTCACCTATTTCCCAGGATCTCTCACGGAATGGGACGTTTGTGAACAATGAAAAAATTGGCACAAACAGGATGCGAATCCTAAAGAATGACGACGTAATTTCCCTGTCCCACCCAACGTACAAAGGTAAGCGATCGACAACAGGTACAAATATCGACAAGGACTCGTAAGTAATTTGATGTTTTGCACCTGCCCTCCTTTGTAGCCTTTGTATTCAAGGATCTCAGCCCGAACGAGTCGGTCGGCCTTCCCGAGGAGATTACCAAGACGTATTATGTAAATCGCAAGCTGGGATCGGGGGCATACGGACTGGTGCGTCTGGTCTATGACACCCGCACCTGCCAGCAGTTTGCGATGAAAATTGTTAAGAAGAACATGCTCTCTGGGGCGCGACCCAGCACCAATTTTAGTGATCCCGATCGGGTGCTTAACGAAGCCAAGATTATGAAGAATCTTTCCCATCCGTGTGTGGTCCGCATGCACGACATCGTCGACAAGCCGGATTCTGTGTATATGGTGTTGGAGTTTATGCGTGGCGGTGACCTTCTCAACCGGATCATCAGCAACAAACTTCTCAGCGAGGACACCTCGAAGCTTTATTTTTACCAAATGTGCCATGCCGTCAAGTACCTACACGATCGGGGTAAAACAAATTATATTTATTTGGGTTCGAATGTGTTGCTGAATAAGCAAGATGTTCATTTCTTGTTGTCAAATAAGTAAGTCGTGGGAATGGGTATTGAAAGCGCCCTTTATTTCAAATAAAAAGCAAATTATTCCTGCGCCTTAACAAATATGCTAGTATTCACAGCAATCGAACTATTCCCCTAAATAGATTTTTAACTTTCAGGCATCACCCATCGTGACCTAAAACCAGACAATGTTTTGCTGGAGACCAATGACGAGGAGACCCTGCTAAAGGTCTCCGATTTCGGGCTGAGTAAGTTTGTCCAGAAGGACTCGGTTATGCGGACGCTCTGTGGCACGCCACTCTACGTGGCTCCTGAGGTGCTGATAACCGGCGGCCGAGAAGCCTATACCAGGAAAGTAGACATTTGGAGCTTGGGAGTGGTGCTCTTCACTTGGTAAGCCAATCTGTTGTTCTCCTACTAAAATGAAATAGTAAAACACTCATATCTTGCAGCCTTAGTGGTACTCTGCCCTTTTCAGACGAGTACGGAACCCCGGCGGCCCAGCAAATAAAGAGGGGCAAATTCGCGTACGGCCACTCTTCTTGGAAGAGAGTCTCGCAGCGCGCCAAGCTGCTGATCAACCAAATGCTCATTGTGGATCCCGAGAGGCGACCCTCAATCGATGACGTCTTACAGAGCAGCTGGATGCGGGATGCGCCCATGCTGCAAAAGGCGAAGAGGCTGATGAAGCTCGATGGCATGGAGATCGAGGAGGAGAACTTCCTCGAACCACCCACCAAGCGATCGCGACGCTAGGTTTAGTTTCTAAGTTTCCATCGTTAATACCTATGGGTCGAGGCGCGAAAAGGTTTTAATTTTCTGGAAAAATTAAGCGACAACATTTTTCCCAAACTGCCGACACCGCCGCATCCGAGTGTATTGTCGAATTTAAGTATTTTTTGCGGTTGTTTATTTTTACGTGTTGTCTAGTGTAAGTTTCATCTCCCAAGCCCGGTTAATCCTGTTAAACTGCATATATTACTGGGCTCTCGCTTCACAATTATTTTAAGATTCCTATCGATTTGAATTTTGCCATTCCACTGGAATATTATTACGATTTATTACTTGTAGATGTTTAGAAACTAAAAGTTCTAAATTTAAGAATTTGACTCTTCAGCAAAATATTCAGCTTTTCGAAATAAAGCGTTTGAATTTGTTTAAGTAATATTTACTTTGTACACGCTCTTTAATGGGATTCAAAATAAATTGCCTCTTTGCAATGCCGCAACAATGATTTGGTTCGTCTACTTATATACATTAAGATTCATATAAAGTTAAATAAAAAAAGTGTGGTACCAGCTAAAGTCGTAGCACCTCGGCCAAGCCAAGGTGCTTGGTGTATACAATGGAAACTTAAGTGATAAAAAGAATAAATGCAAAAAAATCTATGAAATCACAGGGCCTCCAGCAAAATTATTTAATGGCATGCGCCACCATTTTACGACCATGTCCGATGGTGATGAGGGTGCTATCATCGGTCCAAACTGCATCTGTAAGGCGAGAATGGGTTTCCTCGTGCGTGTAGATGAACTCATGGCCCGCCTGCACATTGGCCACTTTTACAGAGGCTGGCAAATTGCTCATGGCAGCCAGATAGGGCCTGGAAAGAAGTGTGTTAAGTTAAATTGCCATTATTTCGCATCAACACGTACCCATTGATTATTAACTGGGAGACATGGCCCTTGTCGAAGTATTCCCTGGATTCCGCCAGTTTTCGCGGCACTCGGATGTCCAGAGTATGAACCTTGCCGTCGTAGTCCCCGATATAGATGTTATTGTCACCCTGAAGCTCCGTTGCAGCAGCCCAGGCGGCACTGGTGAAGCTCAGCAAGTGGCTGGAATCTGCATAGAGGCACGTAGATGAAGGAGCCGCTGCCCGGACATCCCAAAGGCGGGCACATCCGCCACGATCACAGGTCACAAACTTGTCGGCCGAAGCTGAGGGTGTGGCGAGTGCAGTCAACTTGTCGGTGTGCGAGCAGCGCGATCTGTATGAGCTCACCAGATCGGCGCCCGAGAGATCCCAGACCTGTAAGTGGGATTCCGTTGTATATTTTCCATATACTCTACTACTCTACTCTACTTTCACACATACATTAAGGGTGCCATCCGCTGAGCCCGAAACGGCCTTGCGGGGATCCGCCTTGAAGACGCTCAGTTGGCTGATGGGTGTGGGATGCGCGCAGGACTCGCCCACGAGGAAGAGGCAATAGGGTGACTTAGGATCCCGCACCTTGGAATATGTGGACCAGGCCTGGAGTCGCGTATCGCCAAGGGCCACCAGCAGGACATCATTCTCGGCGTAGCGAACAATGTTCACCGTGTGATCCGCCTGCAGCTTGAAGTCCGCCGACTCCACGGTCATGTGGTGCATCTGGTCGCGTCCGTAGCCGAAGAACATGCCCCACCAGTGGCGTCCTTCGCGTCGGTTGGTGGCCAGGGCCAAGTGCTTGTGCTCGTTGATGGCGATGCTGTCCCAGCAGTCATGCAGTCGCGGCGAAAGGTTCTCCAATCGCGCGTTCAGGTCCGCGACGTTGAGGTTCGGGTACTCCAGGTTTCCGGCCAGCTCGAGTGCCGGCGGAGGCTGGTGGGTCACCGGAGTGCGGTACACCTCCGAACTGCGTTGCGGGAACATGGTCGTTCACTCAAGAATCCGGAAAACAGCCAAGAAGTTGTTAGGCGGCGAAGATAAAGCAACGTGCCCGGCAAGAGCAAATAAATCGCTGTAAGTGAAAATCGAACTATCGATATTATTATGCATTAATATCAAATATAATTGCGAGCTGGTCACTCTGGGATTTGAAATTATATTGATTTATCCGAAAAAACTACCTTTAATACCATAATTATCAGTTTTCATGAGCTGGTAAAATGTATACTGGAAATAACTGACACTAACCTTTTTTAAGCAAACGCACCTCTTAGCGAGGTAAGAAGTGAAGATGGCATATTGAACTCTCAAAGTTTATGATATCCAATTTGGGGACGATTAAATGAAATATTTACATATATAAGTTATAGAAGTTGGTTAACTATTTTGTTCCACCGACTGCAACTGCTCGCATTTTCAAATTGATCTCTCTTGGTGCTCATCGTCACTACGTGGACTGCCGCCTATCTATCACAGAAGAAAGTTGGTCATTTATTTCTTGGCCAAAGTAAGGAAAATAATATATATAATTATATATATCTAATTATATCAGCAGTGCTTGAGCTGCATGAGCTTCAGAATATATACATTTAGCCTAATTAATAAAGGATAATGAGTAATAGGAATTTATACAAATTGAAATGTTCTACATTACATATACATATGTACATTATACATTGGCTAACGGTATTGCTGTGATTTGTGCCGAAGTCGAACGGTATTTTTTAGGGGATTTCCCGCCATGACGAACATTTACCGTTCCCTTGCGCGCGGTCACACAGTGATTATTTTTGTTTATTATTATCGCGTCGCTCGTTGCGCGCTGGCATATTTTTTGAATAGTGCGTTCCTAGTGCGAATCGGCAGCGTCCCAAACGTCGTAGATTCCTTCGCCTGGGCCACCAAGAACGAACATTATTTCCTTACATAACCTCGGAATACTTGGGCCTTAAAGAGCCGCGCGACGGAAGGCAATCAACAAAGACACGCAAGTGCTTGCACACCGTGCTATTATGCAAAGTGCGCCATTGCAGCTGCTCTAAAATTGCAAAGAGAGGCGACAGAGAAAAAAAACACAAAGTGCCTGGGCAGAACGAGTGGAACCGCCCCCCCAAATCAGCTGTGTGATCTCTGCGGTCGGACCTCCCTCGAGTGGGCGCAAAATGGGCGGGATGGGGAGCGGCGGGCTGCTGGACATCTACTCCATGGCCTGGGAGCACCTGCGACCCGGAAGCTCGCCCGTCGACTGGTGCGAAGGCAATTACTTGATTTCATCCAACATCGCCGAGTTCGTGAACACGGTGCGTATGTGCGATTTGTTTTAATGTAATTTATGCGCTCTGCTCTCGCTGCCCCAGTTAGTTGGCCCCGCCGCAGTGGTTGTATTTGCTTTTCACCCTTTCACAGACAGCTGCGGGTTTTCCTTCTGAATGGGCCTTGACCTTTTCAGAGCGAAACGTAAACAAAAGATGCTGTTTGCCACGCTTCGTTTGCGATGGCGAGACGGGCGAAGGGCCATTTTCGCAGTGCGACACCCGGAAAATGCAGTTTTCTTATCGCCCCGAGCGTCACACCTGTCCGATCGATATGACCCTTGGTATGCGGGCAGGGAAAAGAAAACCCAACTCTTTGCCCTCGTACTGGAAACTCGTGCCTCTTCGGCCTTGGCTGCTACATGGACTTGAACTGAGTCCTACTAGGGTTTTCACACTAGTTTGAATGATCATAATGCCTTAACTCTTTTGTCAGATATTCAAAGATTTTATACATGTACATAGATAGTGCTGTGAGTTAATCAGCCGTTTGTGTGTATAATGTAATACATCCCTTAATAGTCTAAATAAAAGCGGTGTCAGCGATATTTATTGCCATCTGCATTAAAAGAAGCGTTCGTACAGTCGTAACTTGATATGCGCCGGTCTCACTTTCATTATGGCTTATCAATGCTAATCGTTGAGGCTAACCGCCGATCGAAATGCAGTTTTTGAAATCAAACTACTAAAAACGACGGCCAGACTGTAAACACTTGTTTTTATATTCTATATAACGATATACTTTTATACTGCATACTCTAAATTTATTACTAATCTCAATAAGTGTATATAAAATGTAAGAAATGTAAGTTAGCCCGCTAGATAATTTCACAGCCTATTAGTTATCATTCCCAACAAGAAATAGAACAGCCTCAAAGTGAACCCAAGTCCAGAGGTTATCGGAGCCCCATATTGCCACAACACAATGACAATAGTATGTCGTAACATACAATCTTGCGTTTCAAATAGAACGCAGTATCATCAATTCGGTCAATGTGGAAATTTAAATGGGAGCCGTAAGTAGCTTTGTAGAACTTTGTGTGGTGCAGATATACTTCCGCTTGCTAACGATAATGGAAATGGCTTTTAATTGATTTGGTCGACATGAGTAATCGTTTGCTGGCCAGTAAAGTGCACGACGCTTGAAACGCATTTTGCCTTTTTTTGTTTTAATTGGGTTTACTCAGCAAATGGAGTGAATAACCCCGATCTTGACACTCTGCTGCACAATAACCAGCGGCACTTGTGAGGAAATCGAAGCGAAACTTTTCATACATATATATTGTAAATATCTTTATAATGGGCATAGCCCAGTTGCTTATCACTTCTCTTAATATAATACGAATACGTTAATGTTGTTCCAAGCACCCTTTACATGTGATAATTACTCCACTTCTCGCCCAGTTGCCCAGTCAAAATAATTTTTGTTCATTCAATTTGCTCGGGCATTTACGTGACACAGTGCAAATTGCCGAGGTGACACGTAGAAGTGGAAGCAAGCACAATTAATTATTCATACGGCCAACAGGGAGACATATGTATGGTCATAATTTTGAGATATGCGCAAATGAAAATGGAAACATCTGGATATCATAAAACTGTACTGTTGGAAAAAGATAATAATTACCATTCAACTTATTATTCGTTGTAAAGTATGTTAGGTTCTTAAGGCAGCATTTGCGACCCTATAGGGGATATACATTCTTGATCAGGATCACTGCGTACGTGTGAACATCAAGATCTAGGGAAAAGAAGAGCTAGAAAAGAGATTCAGGTTCTTCCTTGCGTAAACATGCGTAAAGTATTCGTTGCAATGTGAATGGTATTTTAGCTTATCGATCATTATCATCTACATGCCAAGAATTGTTTAAGTCGAAGCATTAGAAGCCTTTTTAGAGAAAACTGAAAGTCTCCTTACTATATGAGAATGCAATCAGTTTCTGCTTGCTATTGCACTTCCATTAGCTGAGTAGATGGTATCTAATAGTCGCAATATTCGCGACGTTCTCCCTATATTTTTTTAAGCGGCACACTAAGTGAAATATGAGTAACGCAATTACATTGAAGGAAATATATATATTTAAAACCGATCTACTGTTTTTGCTTCAACAGTTTAGCAACTTCCTGTTCATCCTCCTCCCGCCAGTTCTGATAATGCTTTTTAAGGAGTACGGACGCTTTGTGACGCCCGGAATCCACGTCATCTGGGTGCTGCTCATCGTGGTTGGCCTGAGTTCGATGTACTTCCATGCCACCCTGAGTCTGATTGGCCAGCTGCTGGATGAACTGGCCATCCTCTGGGTCTTCATGGCGGCCTTTTCGCTCTTCTATCCGAAGCGCTACTATCCCAAGTTCGTGAAAAACGATCGGTAAGAACTGTGATCCCCCTGTGATACGGCTGGCACTATCTAAACACCCCGACTTTCGGTTTCCTTTGTTCCCAGCAAAACCTTCAGTTGGCTCATGCTGTTGTCGGCGATTGCTGCAACGGGCTTGTCATGGTGGAAGCCCATTGTTAACGCCTTTGTTCTCATGTTCATGAGTGTGCCGACCATGGTAATGCTGTACACAGAGCTGCAGAGGTGAGTTTACCTAGCTTCTACTCAACTGGTAATTCTGAGGGTCTTACCGATAGGCAGGCGGCTCTGATTTCCCGCCTGCTGACCCGAAATTAACCGCAATGCCCATAAATCATGTATCCTATCATCACTCATTCCTGTTATCACGTATGCGATTTTGTTTTATCTTTGGGAACAAGTGTACTGCGCTTTCCACCTTATCAGCACTTATTTACTCAATTTTATTTCTTGTCATAGATGATATGTTATGGTTCGAGTAGGTCAAAGATCGAAACGAAAGGGTGTTTCCCTGCACTCACATTCAATGGTTTGGGCAAGGCGTCGATGCATCAATCAATCATATCAATCGATTTCAATGTGTAATTAAGATAAACCTGGAGTAGAGTACTCGGCTCGAGGGCTTATTGTTTTTATTGGCTTAGGTAGTCAACGGGCCACTGATTATTTCCTTTGGGACTTACAGCTGTCACAAAGTTGGGTAATGTTTGACGTATCTGGGCCGCAACTACGAGGAATACGTTATACCCTTGAATATAATGTGGGGGAAACTATAGAAAAAGTGAGGATATATATTTGACATAATAGTGATAGTTGAAATATACACAGTTCCATATTTATTTCTCTTTGCTCGCGGAAATCCTTCCCTATCGATTATAAATTATAATTAGTATTTACTATGCCGACTTAAGCTGTCCTTGCAAATGCAATATTTCTTGGCGTTCTTGCGATTTATACAGTTGGCGTCGTTTTTGTAAGAGGTCAATCGACTTAAATCCTCCACATTTATGTGACGAAGCCTTTGGGTTCGACTATTCCAACGCACAGTGGCCTCAAAAATGGGGGTTTTCGGGACGGTCTGGAACATAATGATATAGACGTGCTCGTTTCTGTCCGCCGGCCTAAGTCCGTTGGACAGGATGGTTTTGCGGTCTGCTTTCTCCACGTTTTTGAATGTGAAATTGTGGCACAGATGGCTCAGATTATGGCTAACTAAGTGCTCGTTCATTCGCTGCACAATTGCTTTGGCAATTGTCCTGGCATGCGGGGAATTCGTTATGGTTTCCGTGGGCTGGCAACAGCACCATTTCTCCTCGATTCCGGCCATTTGGCAAGTGCGATTGAAGGGCAGCTCAAAGAAAAGGGATTGGCAGCTCTTGCACTGTCTTGCCTTGAGACTATCCGGGAAATCATCCACGGACTTGCTATCCAACTGGAGCAAGTGCTGGAGGGTCATGTAGAGATCGTAGTTGGAGGACAGGCGATTCTGGTTCTTCCCGAGATTACTCGCCAAATGAGGATACTTGTGCCGGAACCAGGGTGGCAAATAGATAAACATCATCGGCATGCGCTCTTCAAAATACCCTGTGGCAGCGTGCCGCAAAGTATTATACCGATGGCCATGATCACTCATCAGAATCACGATGGATTTCCGAAAGAGACCGGACTCCTCGAAGGACTTTAGATACTTCCAGAACAGGTTGTCCAGCGCAGTGGCTCCCTCGAAGTAATCGTGGGTGAAGCTGTTGCTCCATAGAAACCCAAACATGGGGGATCTGCCGAGAAAGCGATCGACGAACTGCTGGCCAAAGTCCCAGACATAACTGAAGCTGAGATGACGACCCACGCAGTAGGCAAATCCGAAGTCCTTGGTCACCTTAAATTGTTTTTCGATGGCGAAAAGTAGAGGACGTAGGTAGTAATCAGTTGGCTGCTTCACAAATCCCGGTTTCAGGTAGTTGAAGGTGCTAATAGATGAACAATCTTCGGCGAAGGCTGTTGTGTAGTTGGCTTTCTTAAAACGCTTCCAAATGAAGTTTAAGGAGTCCAAGCAGCCCGGCTTTCTTACATCACAATAATCCCGTACTCCCTTTTCGGAATCTCCCGTCAGCACGGCCAGAAGATTGGGAAAGGTATTATCGCCCACCTTATTGTAGCCCTGCATCTCGAACCATCCTGGCCGCCTAACGAATTTGTAAACCGATGGCATTGCTCGTCGCAGATTTATGCGCGACGTGGAGTCCAATCCCATGATCAGAACACTCGGCTTGTGCACCTCACTTTCTTCCTTCACGAAATCCTCGACCTTCTCTTTTGGAAGGCGGTCCTCGATGAAGGAAATGGCATCCGCTTGCAGCAGCTCCCGGTGCCTGCTCACATCCTTCACATAGCAACTGGTGATCATGTAATCCGTCTTGTTCGGAACGAACTGGTGGTGCTTTATGGGACGACTTCTAAGCTGACTGAAAGAAGTGCAATTGCCTTGTTAATGAGAGAGTAATTGATTAAGTAAGAACGCTCCTCTCAATTCCTTTAACAATAATCGCTATAATAATATGCCTTCTCTTACAATATGCACCCAATTTATACATTCCTACATAGATCATAAATGTCATAATGATGCAGTGCTTTGTTATGTGGAAAAGTAAACGCTTCGAGTTAACCACAGTTAGGCCAGCTAAGCTAATGAAGAGTTAGGGCCATACTCACTTATAGGTATCGTCGGGTTTCTTGTCGGAGTTGTCCCGCGATATCTCCCGGTACTCGCACTCCAGGGTGGCGTTGCCCTTCCTGTTCAGAATGGGCTTGGCCAGGTGCTCGTGTACATGCAGTCTGTACTGATGTGTTTCAAAGTCGAATTCACTTGTAACCAGATCGCTGTCGTTGTGGCAGTGCCTTAGCTTCTTTCGGTGGAAGTTACTCATTGTATCCCACGTAAAGGGATTCACGAAGGGCATCTTGCACACCGGACTATGTACATAGTACTCGTTTGCCCCATGAGCACTGTTCGTGTTCCAAAGGCCAAGGCAGGTTAGGATGAAAAGGGCTTGAAACTCCTTAGGCGTTCGAGTCATGTTCACCTATGGCTGCAGCATTTTCACTGACGGCTCAGCAGTCTCGTTTAATAATTGCATTCACAACGCTTGGCTACACTAACACAAAAGTATTGGCGTTTCGTTTTGAATTATCTCTAATTCTAATGGTTTATTAATACCCATATATATTCTTTGTTTATATAGAGTTAGTGACCAGAGGGTTTACCGCCTGGGCATCCGATCGACGACAGTGTGGGCACTCGCGGTATTCTGCTGGATTAATGACCGGATCTTCTGCGAGGCCTGGTCATCGATCAATTTTCCATACCTGCACGGCTTCTGGCACATATTCATTTTCATAGCTGCCTACACGGTGCTGGTGCTGTTCGCCTATTTCTACGTGGAATCGGAGCTGCCCCAGCGACAGCCGCTGCTGAAGTACTGGCCGAAGAACGAGTTTGAGTTCGGGATACCCTTCATTTCGATACGGAATCCAGGTAAGGCTCTGCGAAACACCATCTAAAGACGATTCTGGAGTGCAGAGGTGGCAGAGAAATGACCAAAGACCAAGCGATAATATCGTACATGCTTTAAAAACATAAACAATTATTGTAAAATTACGGCAACGTAATTGTAGCGCACACTTTTTATATAGTTGAAACAGTTTATTAGCCATAGATATATTTATTAAGCAAACGAATCGGATTCGCGGTTGTATCCAAAGAGATAAGTCTGTTAACGCCTTAAGGTTCGGTGCACCTGAATACTTGGGCCTAAACCAATAATAGTATTGGCCTGCTTAGTCCATAAATGGGCGATTGCTCCGTGGAACTAGAAAGACATATCTAAAACATGGTTATTGTTCCGTCTACCCTTTAAATGAGTTTAATCAAAGTCTTCTAACCCGTTCTATGAGTATGAGTTACCATCGGACTGTGATATGTTATGAACTAATTCACCCCATTGCTTCCAGAACAAATGGTTCCTACGCTTTCCCAAAAGACAAACAATTTTATTAGGTTTTGAGTACCTGATTTTGTTAATTGTTTTGTGGCTATCTAGTTTACGCAAACTAACAAATTAACACCTACACTAATCCTGGATTGGAAATCTACTAGCTCCTACCAGAAACCACAACTAAAACACTAATCAAAGTAGATCGTTGCTCAAAGTATTATGCCATTCAAATGATCCAACCCGCTACCTTGCTGATCCCACAGATTCGAAAGATTGGCTCGTCTACTGCAGCTTGTACATGCAGGACTATGACTACAAGCACGGAAAGAAGTAAGGCAAGAGTTCGGTTGGATAGCCTTCTCCAAACAGAAACATACACAGCGTGATATAAGTTAGAGTTGCAGAAGGAGGAATAACTAAATTATTTATTAATTATAAAGCTCGCCTGCTCAGCGCAGAAACCAAATTATGTATAGCTGCCATATAGAGCGTTAGCTTAGGAAGTATGATTTACTTAGGCTACACAAATGTCGACAAATGTACTGCGTTAGAAAAGCAAGCTCTCTTGTTAATCGCAATAAAGAATAGTATTTCAGTTGCCGTTGTTTTATTCAATGTTATGTTGCATAAACATATTTTACTCCTACATACTGTGTAATTCGTATATCTTTTCATTTCCTTACATGGTAAGTGTCCTTTTCTACGCGTGTGCTTAAGAGGTTGGGGTTAGTGTTCGCTGAGCATTGGTCCAATCAAATTCGTTAGGCGATGTCACAATATTCGCATGTAAACGCAGTTCAATCCGAATCCGACGATATATTGGTGCAGGAATCGTGGGTGATACGTTTGTTGATGGGATTGTAGATTCCGTTGAGCAGATACGGTCCGCGGTAGCTGATAATGTTCTTTGGGGTCTCATGGATCTTCACCTCGTACAGCAATTCCGGCTTCTTCAGCTGCAGACGGATGTTGTCCCAGATGTAAACGGCCAAGTTCTCTGTGGTACTGGGCTAGGGCAACAAAGGATAGGTTTATTAGTAGGGCAAGCTGCGTTGTGAATTCTGGTTGTTTACTGTATTGGCAAAGTATTCCACATCCTTGTCGAGATTCTTGTGGTCCAGACGCTTCATAATCACAGTTTCTATAGCCTCTTTCAGCTCCGAGATGTTCACCACCATTCCGGTTCGCCGATCGATGGGACCACGAACGGTTATCTCAACTGAAAGGATTAAAAAGTATAAAGATTATAAAGTACATCTCTGAAGATCCATTCAAACTTTTTCGGATAATCGCGGTCAAGTCAAGATTAAGTTCTTAAGGCTATCTAATCACAATCTTAAAGTAATCAAAAAATAATCAGTTGAGCAATTGCGCCACATTATGCTCGTTCAGAGCATTACTCATTATCACTTCTCGGTCGCCAATACATATTGATTGCCTTTGAGCGTTGAACTTGAGTATGGTTTTGATAAGCGAGCTTGTCGGCCAAGGTTTTGCTATGGTTAGGCATTTTTTCGGTCTCAAATTACCAGTTTTGTGGGGGTTATACCTGATTGAACCTGGGTTATATGATAAGTGTTGCACTTTGCAGGTAATCAGGCGATTAAGTGTGTTTAAGGGGGTATTTTTCACCTGTATAGTTGTGTCCGTGGCCGTGGAAATTGTTGCACTTGCCGAAGACTTCCAGATTCTCGGCATCGCTCAATTGGGGACTAGGGAGGAAATAAGTGCAGCAATCAATTTAAATCGAACTGAATTGGTTTGCAAACCGTGATTGAATTAAGTAATTGAATGACTCAATTTGATTCAGTCTAATTACCTATGGAGACGATGACAGGCGCTGAAAGTTTCGCGACGGGTTAGGAAGGCAACAGGTTGCTGCGACATTTCAGGTCGATTTATACTATATCTGGTCTGGATCTGGATGTGGATGTAGATGCGGATTTATACCTGCGGCTGATCAGCTGCGCGCTTTGGCACTGTTTTACAATGAATGCAAAACCTGCTTTCGAGCCGCGCTTATTTATATGGTACTTGGGTCGGGAGAACAAGGAAATAAGCCACAAATGCGGCGAATGCGAAAGTCACAACACGCTCGGAACTAGTTTCTCCTGAACTTTTCGAGTTCGACTAATGCAGCTGACTAGCGATAGATGTTCCCTTGTTTAAGTTTGCAAGTGTTTGTATGCGCTGCAAAGACAGGGGTAAGGATGGTAGACCGTGGCATTCAACTCAATCAGGCAAGGCGCTCACCTTTATTTGATGTGGATTTTCAATAATATTTACTTTTGTCTACGTTGCTCGTCAACAGCTGCTCCCGATAACAAAGCAGCGCAATCGGTTATCGGCCAGAGATGAGAGTGCGCCGTTTGTTACCATAACTGTTCTCAGTGATTTACATTAGCAGTAAAATGCGCGATATAAGAACTAAGAAATAATTACGTATTTGAAAATGTGGCCACTAATAAATCATTTTATGCAGACAACCCTTTACAGTATTATAGTATTTTGATTATATTACAAATTGCAGTACTTTTGATTACTGGAAGTAATAAATAATAACCATCCGAATCGATATTTATCTGTTAATATTTATTTAACATTATGTGGTTAACAGAGTTAGTTTAATATGCAAGTGTTCATCCCTGGCGCGTTGTGGCGTTGCCAGACCTCAGGCCAGTCACTGAAATCAACTCTGCTTTGCTATCGATCGACGCCCGTCACCAGAAAAAAAATAACAAACGACGCCGCGCAATAATTCGAAACTCCTTGCAGTTATTTAAAAAAGAGCAGAAAGCCCGAAATAACAAAGTAAATATGAGCAACAAGAGCACACCGGTGCGCCAGCGCATCCAGCAGTTCCAGACGCGAGGAGTCCACAAATCCACGCCGGCATCCGAGATGCGCAAGAAGGTGCTGATGACGCGGACGGAGGATCGGGATCACCGCGATCGTCCCGAACAGCTGCTGAACACTGCCTTCAGCGGGAGCACCCCGAAAACGAAACCCAAGTCCACCGCGCTGAATGCCTGCTACACACCCTCGTCGCTGTACAGGAATGCAAACAGTACTCCTGGGAGACCGAAGACTCCCGGCACCGGGAAATCCAGCTGCAACAGGCCAAAGGAGCGGGACTCCCTTCTGGAGTCCTGCCTCAGCGTGTCTGAGGAGAGCAACATGATTGTCGCAGTGCGAGTGCGGCCACTGAATGCTCTGGAATGCACACGTTGTCAGGTAACCAATGTGGTCCAGGTGCACGGAAACAGCAACGAGCTGACTGTCCAAGCGGGCAGCAGTGCGGATGCCTCAGCCGGGGTGACGCACTTCTTCAGCTACGACCAGGTCTACTACTCATGCGATCCCGAGAGAAAGAACTTCGCCTGCCAAACCAAAGTCTTTGAAGGCACAGCTCGTCCTTTGATCGACACTGCCTTCGAGGGCTACAACGCCTGCTTGTTTGCCTACGGACAGACGGGCTCGGGCAAATCTTACAGCATGATGGGCATTGAAGCTTTAGATGATGCCGCTCTGGATGGTGGACCACCGCACGATGAGGCGGGCATCATTCCACGCTTCTGCCACGAGCTGTTCCGCCGGATAGAGGCTGTGAAAAGTCAGCAGCAGCTGCAAGTGGAGGTGGAGGTCAGCTACTTTGAGATCTACAACGAGAAGATACACGATCTGCTGAGTGTCCAACATGCGGCAGCTGCCTCCGGAGAATCCACGCCTATCCAGCAGCAACAGCAGCAGCGGCCGGCTCTAAAGGTGAGAGAGCATCCCATCTTCGGGCCCTACGTAGTGGATTTAAGTGCCCACTCGGTGGACTCGTACTCGGCGCTCCGCAACTGGCTTGCCGTGGGCAACTCGCAGAGGGCCACTGCATCCACGGCCATGAACGACAAGAGCTCGCGCTCACACTCCATCTTCAACATTGTTCTGAACCTCACCGATTTGAGCAGTGACGATGGCCTGTCCTCAGATACGGACTCGAGCACGGTGTCCTCCCACCGGCAGACACGACGCAGCAAGATTAGTCTGGTGGACCTGGCGGGCAGCGAACGCATTAGCGTCTCCGGATCGAACGGCGAGAGGATCCGCGAGGGCGTCAGCATCAACAAGAGCCTGCTGACGCTGGGGAAAGTTATTGCCGCTCTGGCCGATTCCCGCAAGACCAGCAGCAATGGACCCCTGGGCTCTGGAGCACCCAGCACCTTTGTTCCCTATCGGGAGAGCGTGCTCACCTGGCTGTTGAGGGTAAGTGTTACACAATTACTAACTACTGCTGTTGTACTTATCAACTGGGTCAGTAGTTTGCTCTACTTTCGGTTAATGATTACTCGTTCTTATCCTCCTGGCTTTTGAAAATTTTAATTGAACTCCGCCGTGGTTGAAAAATATCATTACAAAAGGCAAAACGTTAGCCTTCGAATAAGTTCAGCTCAGTATATGTCTTGAATATAATTGCATTTATTCGCAATGCCTCGCACTTCTGCCACCACCAACGGAGAGGTTATCAACACTTTCGCTTTGATTAGGCAGTGGCCCAAGGAATGAGGTCCCCTCACAATCAGTAATTACCCGGAAAGCAACCAGTACGTAAAACTGCACTGGGAATGCAAATGACACGTTGACCCCTGCGGAAAGTACCGACAAAATGTTCAGATGGACAAACGTTACATAACCAACCGCCTAAATGGAACTGCTGGGCATGATATTCGAGATTCCACAGATTTCGTGATGAGCCGAGCCCATCGACTCCTGACACGCCAATTCAGTTTTAATGATGTCTGCATTTTGCGGAGTATTTTGTGTCTGCTAGACAGATTTGTGTTTGCTCCATCAATTAACTGAGGCGCTAATTAGTTTAACTAAAATAAAGCGTTAAATTGTCCGAAAAACTGGAAAAAGGAGACAGCTTCAGGCAGAGATTAGATTCAGTTTATCTGGACTTTGTAGGACAAAATATGGGATCTCTAGTTCTGAACTCGAAGTTTGTTATCATTCGTTTTTGTTTTGTTAAGATTACTGGCAGACACAGTCCCTTTTTATTATGTCCCTATCATTTCGATAGAAAAGCCTTTTATTAATTTTATTATACCAAATCAAAGACCTCCCGCACCTCAATCAATTGAGTGATTAAAGTCTTGGCCTCTAATCATATCTATTTAATCTACTGTTGTTGCTTTTTATTTGCTTATAAAATTTATGACCTGATACAAAGGCACGTGTACATTTTCTGGAAAATTATTTTAAGAACGCAAATAAAAAAGATAGCAGTTTCTTCACTTGAGTAATATAATTTGCTTTTTTTTTATAAGATCTCTGCAAATGGCATAGACAATGTTTGCCTTGCCTTAACAGGAAAATTGTTATAAAATTGTCATGGGACTTGATTGTTCTGTATAAGTTAAAATAGCGAGAGCATTACCATTTATCATATTAATAGCTATTTGTTTCACGATTGTTTGAATTGAGTCACGACTGTGTTTTCTAGTGTATCAATGTTACATACATTTGTGTGCATTTGAGTTATCAACTGCTCTCAAACGAACATCACAAGCGAGTAATATCTTGATTGTTGGAATATTACAAGGCTAGTTAATCCAATAGTAAGGGTTTTATATAATACAAGTATCTGCTTCTAAATTAGGTGCACCTGACATTTACGACGTAATTTATAATCACTCCACTGCACTCAATGAGTAATTACACGGCGCTTAAGTGAGAGGCTCTTGATTGAAGGTACTACAAAGTCCGAACACTTGTCTTTTTTTCCGAAACCCGTTCCACTGAGTGTTATTTAGTGTCCAGCCACTTCGGTTTTACTTACGGTAGTACGCCCCATAAAATCGCTCACATGATTTATTTTTGTACGCGCCAAATATTTGATGGAATGGCTTTGTACCCAAGTTTGTTGTAACCAGACCGCTGGGGGAGCCACGTGGTGACGAAACGCACCAGAGAGTATGTGCAGGAGACTACCATACAAGAAACAATTAAAACACGTTGTTGTTGCCCAATTAAGCTTTTAAAGTATTGAATGGTTTGGATGCTCTAGATTTAGGTTTGCATGTTGAGTGTGCGATCGTCAGTAGCTTGTACCCTGTTAACGGGTTTGTCTGATTTTCTACCAAGAAAGAAAGATGGCATCTCGAAAATTGAAGAGACCTTGTTTAGGTGCCTTCGATATTTTTGGCTTTCCATCGTTTCTATATATCAGTCAAGTACTTTTCCATCTACATCTTCCTTTGCCACCTCACAGATTTAAAAATACTTTGCAGATAATGTTTTATTTGTGTTTTTCGAGGCATACTCCGGCACTAAAACAATATTACACTTGATACGTTATCGCGTCCCCTAAGTTGCGACACCAGCAATTTCAATTGTTGCTGTCGTTGTCGCCGTTTTCCGCATTTACAGGCTGAAGGCTCGCATTTGCAATTGCTCTTGCTCAGCTTTTTTCCATCCTTAAGAGCTGCAATAACAATTTGAACAGAATATGAACAGTTTATAGAGTTACTTTGGAGGAAAACTAAACATCGAAGTTTATTTAAGCCTATAAAGGTATTACCTTTACAGTAGTTTATTACATTGGTACCAAAAGACAACAATTAATAGATATCTACACCAATTGAAATCTTGACTTAACCTTGCTTTGGGCGCTCAAATATAAATATTTAATCAAGTATATGTATATAATCGAAAATTGAGTGTGTTTTGTTTATAACCATAATCAGACTCCCCATTATAAAGTCATATTTAAGCTCTAACACAGTTAATTATATACGAATATCATTATTCAGAACAAAAAAAAATGAAAGGAGTGAGAATATATTACATATAATTATTGAACTACTACCTGCTATTAATACTGTTACCTATGTTGTTATTAAATCGGCTATCAACAATCCACTTATATGAAAATTGTTTTGTTTTACGGAAAGGTTTTGTTAAGAATACATTTTTAGGTACACATTTAATTATTTCCCTTGGCTAACTTTTAAATTCACCTTGCGACTTGACTCCTCTGGAACTTTTCAGTTTTTTTAGCAACCGGTTCAGCATTTTTTTAATTGCAGGGGAAATATTCTTTTCCCTAAGAAAGCAGTGATTTTGTATCCTTTTTATTATAATATTTCCCTTTTTCGTTGCGGCCTTTACATGTCTGGAGAAACTTTGGAACTGGAAATATGGAGTCCCAAGCTTTCTAAATAAATTCCAAACAAACTTGTTCGTGTGCAAAGCCCTAGAAACCGCACTGAATTCCTAATCACAATTTTCCGAGTTCGCTTGGAAAGCCACGAACACTGTTTTGATAGCAAGTGGATGTGGCTTTCGGAATAAAATCCAGAAACAACGATTTGAATGCAAATGACGTA